AGAATGTTTGAATAACAACTATTATAAAATGAATAGTTCTAGTCCTAAAATCTGATTGGCTGAGCAGCTTACACACACCTATAACCACCTCACAACTACTAAATTGTGTAATATTATGTCATGGCATAATAATAATGGAATAAACCCGGTTTTTGTTTAAACTGAGGTGCTGGAAACTTATGTATTTAACTACAACTAGGCTGGTCAGCTAGCTAACAGGCTAAAAGATAGCAAACAGTCTCAACAACTCCATCATTAATATCACAGGCATGAATTAAAGTATTTACAGTATGGTTAAATGTCACTTAAATGGATTACATGTTTCAAATCTTTGTGTTTCAGTCAGAAGTAGCATCAAACCCAGGCTGAATCCCAAACGGCTTCGTACTCCCTAAATAGTGTGCTAGCTATGAAAGTTTAGAAATTCGAGCCTCAGCAGCCAAATAGCGCATCATTTATCAAGTATGGATGTGGCCTCATGGCTCATTGCTTTAGTATATCATCGCTGTCATGCAAAAACTTCCACTTTTGTGTTTTGTGTTCACTTTTTGTCATAATTTGTCACGCTTTGCACTGTGTTGAACTATCAAGATGAATAGACCAATAGAAAAGTTACTTTAACTTACGTTATAAGTTAATAATGTTTTACCTTCTTCTGTAAAGTCACCATTTTGGAGGCACAACAACAGTGATTATATGTTAATTACATATTAACAAGGAACTATTTTATAAATGTATTTTAACCAGTTCTTCTTCAATACGGTATTCAACAAGTTATTATTCAATAAATTATTTATGCAAAAACTATTAAATACGTTATTCTTCAATAAGTTATTTATGCAAATGCTAAATTAAAATAATCACAGAATTTACAGTTTTTCATAGCATTTTTAAAATAAGGTATTGTTCTGTTGTTTCCAAAGCATTCACAAAAACATGACGTTTTGAGTCGTATCACCCATCGTTGTGTACACTTTTAAAAATAAAGGTGCCAAAAAGGGTTCTTCACTCAATATTAACCATTTTTGGTTCCCTGAAGAAACATTCAGTGGACGGTTCTTTAGAGAATCATTTCTGTATATGATAAATGTGAAGGTGAAAAACCTTCAAATTACAGAAGTTAAGTACAGATGTGTAATATACAGTACTTTATGTGTAATATACAGTACTTCATGTGTAATATACAGTACTTTATGTGTTATATACAGTACTGTGCAAAAGTCACCATTCATTTAACAAAATGGCAACAAAGTACAAGTTATTCATTTTTCAGCGTGAGGAAAAAGACAGAAAATACATATTTAACAGAAAATTGCAAAAAGGCCAAATTCAGGATTTATTGTTTCCACTCTTTGTCCTTATTACAGCTTCAATTCTTTTCAGGAGACTTGCTTTCTGCTTTTCAAAGAACTTCCAAAGTTCAGTCTTAGAAGTTGGTGGCATTTTCTGCTTTTCACAGTACAAGTAATCCCAAACATATGCAGGGATGTTGAGATCTGGACTCTGGGCTGGTCAGTACATTGTTCTGAGAGCCCCAGCAGCTTCTTTGTTTCTGTGATTTCCAAATGTTCTTTTTTGTTTACTTCTCTTTTCTCAATAACTGCTTCTTTACAACTGCACATCCTTTCAGACTCATGATGTTGAGATGTCTTCTCACAGTGAAAGGATGGACACCTGTGGATTTATTTTTTCAGATCAGTCTCATTTTCTCTACATCTTTTAATAATAACTTGAACTCCTGTTTTTTATCTTGCTTTCCCTTGACTTTGCACTCTTATGTAGATGGATTATATCTTATCTAATATTCTCAGAAACATCTCCTGAAAAATGAATAACTTGTGCTTAATGACCATTTAGACTGGCCTGCGTAGGTGTATAAGAATGTGTATGTGAGGGTATGTGTGGTGTTTGTCCAGTTGCACATCTTCAAAAATATAATGTATACAGTGATAGCAGAGAGATGGGAGATTTGGGAGGGTAATTGGGTTTCAGCATCTTACCTTCCCAAGGCTCAGAATTTAAACCTGAGCTTTGAACAGGAAATGAGAAATTTCAGAGTCCAATTCACATTTTTGTACATCAGATAAATGAAAATGTTTCTGGCTCCGATTCTATGACGCTCAGAACAAAGTGCCTTCTGCCTTTATGGATCATAATTCATTGCTCTGTTTGTGAATTTTTATTTAAATTCCAGTCAACACAGCTATTGGATACAAGTTATACATTTTTTTTAGGAGATACTTCTGAGGAGATCAGATTAGATATAAGATAATCCACTTCCATAAAGAAGAGGGAAGAAACAGGAGTTTCCAAAACTGAAATTTATTAAAAGACAAAAAGAAAATGGGGTAATACTTTCTTTTCTAGGTGTTAACCAGGTAAGTTTGAGATACAAAGTTCAGGATAACATGAGGTTTAAGTTCCAAGTCAGTAGAGCTAAATTACATGGAAATGCCCAAAGAGATCTCAGTATTAACTGGGTAGGTATATCTTACAAACTTCAAGGTACATTTTTTGAATAACATGATGGTAAAGTCCCAAAAAAGCCAATTTACACAGAAATGCTCAACGAGTTATTTCAGAAAACAATCTTTGTGCATTATGCTATCATTTTATACCATTTAGCTACCAGCATTTGGAGGTGTGCTCGATCAAACATGTGACATTACACTGATACTTATTGTATGTTTGTACTCACCAATTTGTAACTCCAAGTCACTAAGAATGTCCTTTATCAGCTTAGTAGCTAGAACCTGTTATTCATTTTATTGTTTTTAGCTAGACTGATTAGGTATTTTTCATTTTACCCAAAATAATTACACAGCATTTTGGAGTTTGTGCTTTAATCCATAACTGAAGAAGTTGTGAAGCATTTCATTGTGATTTAGGTAGACTGTCTTAGAACTTATGAAGAGGAATTCATGAAGAATTGAAAAGCAGTCACTACATGAAAAAATCATACACATAACATTACTTTTCCACAGTCATATGCAGAATATGTGCCAAAATCAAAAACAAAACCTATATTACATTGTTTTCATGCTGAATGACATCCTGAAAAAAAACAACACATGAGGTTTTGCATTTCAAAAATGAAATACTGAATTGGTGTCAAAATTGAATACAATCCACCTTGAAATGCATTAAAGGTAAAACTATATTTGAAATGCCTCATAAAAATGTGAAACACAATGCACATATGACATTGCTTTATCATAGGTGACGTGGAATACATGCCAAAATAATAAGAAAATAATAACAAAATGAAAAGTATAAGGTCCATTACACTGATTGAACTTTGTTTGAAGAACTGCAAAGACAAAAGCAGTATCTGTGACTTCATCACATTACAATGATTTCACAGCATTTTGTTTTTAAAATGCAAAAGTTCCTGTTCTTGTTTTGGAGTTAAGAGGTTAAGTGATATGTAACAGAGAATTTGTTTCTCATTTTAGCACATATTCTGCGTGATCATGGAAAAGTAATGTCATTTGTGCGTTGTATTTCATGTTTTTCCACTGTAGTGACTGCATTTCAATTGGCAAGGATTCCTCAACTTAAGAACTTCTCATCATGTTACTTAAAATAGATATAAAGTACTTCGGAAGTTGCACCTCATAGCTACTTGGTTAATACCTACAACTTAAAGGACTGTAAAAGAAAGCATTACCAACAAGGGGACTCCTAACAACCCAGCAGACCACCAAACAGTCACCATGAATAAGCAGCTTTCATATTTCTTAAATAGGAGAAAATCAAGCTCCATTCTCGCTCCTGATCTGAAAAAATCCACAGGTGTTTCTGTCCATTGTTTCACTGTGAGAAGACAACTCAACACTATGAGTCTAAGAAGGATGTGCAGCTGTCAAGAAGCCATTACTGAGAAAAGGAAATAGACAAAAATCAAAAAAAGAAGCTCTGATGTTCTCAGAACAACGGACTGACCACCCAAGAGTCCAGACCTCAATATCACTGAATGTGTTTGGAATAACTTGGATCATTAAAAGTAGAAAATGCAATTAACTTTTAAGTGGAAAAATATTTCTTCAGATTTCTTTGAAGAACTAAAAGTAAGTCTTCTGAAAAAAATGGAAGCTATAATAAAGGTAAATGACGTAGACTGAAAAATATGACATTATATTTATATACATTATAACTGTTGAGACATCTCAGTAATTTTGGGTTAAATATGTTTTCTGCTTTTTTGCTGACATTTAAAAAATGAATAACTTGTACTTAATGGCTGTAAGAGTCCTGTATATTTAAATTGAATAGGCACACAGGCATTTTTAAGAACCACCTGAAGGTAAAATGTAGCTGCTGCTGCTGGAGTTAATGAACTGTTCAGAGCATTCACTCAGTCAGAGCCTCATGAATCAAATCATTCAAATCAAATGACTCAAAACAATTGAATGTAATTGCAATAAATCCATTTGATTTATATCATTTTATTCTCATCAAACTGTTCAGTGACCTCATAGTGCTCTGTTGATGAAGGCATGGTCATCCCCTTCCTTCTAACAGGTACATGTCGACGCAAATCATGGCAGAAAAATGTCACTGGATCCCCCACACTGTAGGAGGCAAGCATTCAGGCCTGTACCATTTTAATGGTGTACACCATACATGCATTCACTGACTTGATGATGAAGGATGGTTTATCTGACCAGATCAGAGATCATCTCTGTAGACCAGTGTTTATGGTTTTTACACCACTGAAGCTCCTGCCATCCGTGTCCTAATAATGAACCCTCCTATTGAAAATCACTTAGATCTTTTCATCTTGCCATCTTGACCCAAAATCAAGATCAGCTGGGCCTGTTTAGCATATTTGTACATTTTATACACTTTTTAACTGAAATTATCCCACAAACATGTCTAAGTATTCATAATATACAGAGTGCAAACACAAGCAAACACAGCATGCCTGAGCAGCTCAGTGACGAGGAAACTGTACTAAGCTGTAAAGCTTTAAAGCTGAGGTTGGAAATAGAACTCACTGATACGATGGCAGCCAGTGTCTCGATGCCTCCGGTGCTGAGGGTGATGTAGGGAATCATGGCCTTGTTGAATCCTGCGGCTTCAAAAATCCCATTGGTGTAATACCAAATCTGTCAACACATAAGCCAGTTAACATAATATCAGTTTCACTGTTTCATAGTAGGGCTAGTAGTGATGACATATTACCATTATTGCATCAAATTACATCACAATACACATTTCTGAGAATGTCATATTTATCACATGCTCCTAGAACACTGAATGACTGTATCATGAAACAGTCTGTCGAAAATAATACAAACACATAGTAACATCAGATGTCAGCCTGTTGTGTCGTTATGTTATTTTGGTACTTTATTTTTTACCAAATGTTATATTTTTGCTTTTGTTGCTTCGTAAATAACCTATTGTTTGCCTATTTGTACTCATAGTTTAACCATACTCATACTTAAATATTGCTATTCTGTTTTGTTGGTTCATTTTGTCACTTTTGTTACTATACAGGTATGCAAAAAGTTGAACACCCTGGTCAAATTACATGCAAATTTACCATATTATGACAGAATCAAGCTTTTGCCAACTTTACACTGGTAACAATCTGGATGGTCATCTTTTTCTGTGGCCCATAAAAAAAACAATATCCACTGTTTCCATAAAAAATCCAAAATTTTGACTCATCAGGCCACAATATACACTGCCACCATGCATCAGTCCATGTCAGATGAGCTTGAGCCCATTGTCAAAATATTCTCAAGCTCAGGCAGTGTTATACATTACAGAAGCATGCTGGGTTTTAATGTAGTGCTTTCTGATTAATCAAAGGTCACAGGCATTTAGCTGTGTCACGCTACTGAGTTTCTCCAAAGTCTTTGACCAACCTGTAAACTCCAACTCCCATGATTCATCTCGCTGACATCACAGTCACAAGGCCAACAACCAACCAGTCATAATCAGTTATACAGATCCTCCTCCCCTGAGTTATAACTGCTTTTACCTGTGCTCATTAACTATGTTTGTATGCATACCTGTCCATAACAGAAGCTTGTTGCGAAATATTGCCATTAGACTTGTCTTTTGCATGCTGAGCATGCAGTGAACTTCCTGTGTTATTTCACCCTTTTTGTCCCTCGTTTACTCTTGTGGATTCTCCTTTTGGACTTTGGTATTGTACCATTTGTTTCTCTGGCCTTTGACCCTTGCTTGTTTATGTACTTTGGTCTCTGGTTTCTTATGTACCTGTTTATTGCTCTCATTATTCTGACCTGGCCTGGCTTATTGACTACCCCTTTGGTTAGCCCTTTTGTTGATAAAACCCAATTATTTTACTTCCACGAGCATCTGGTTCATGACAAGCTGTGGTTTTCAGCCTTGCCCTTTATGCACAGAGATCTCTCAGAGTTCCCTGAAACTTTTGACGATATTATGCACCACAGAGGGTGAAATACCCAAGATGCTTGCAACTGCTCATTGAGGAACAAACTGTTGGTTGAATTATTCATACATACATTTTTGGTATGATCATAAATGACTTCCTGGATGCTCCTTGTTTAAGATGTTTAACATTTAACATGTATCCATTCAATTTCATCAATCAATTTCGGAATGAGTTCATATTTACAAAAAAACAATGAACGTTATGGGGTAAAACATTAAATGCTCTGTCTATGTACTGTTTGCATTTAAATACAGGTCAAAATGGGTTTCAAATCATTGCTTGCTCTTTTTATTTATATTTCACATGCTTTTCCAACTTTTTTGGAACTGAGATTTGTATATTTGTCTATGTTTTGGCTTGGCCATATCTCCTCTCCTTTAGGGCAGCCCAGCTTCCTATTTATAATTACCATCCGATACCAGGTTCAACAATCAATACTTCATTAAGTTATACTTCATTAATTTCAATCGGTTGTGCTGGTTGTGGAACTGAACAAATGCATGCAATAGCTGAGAAGCATTCAGGGGAGGAGGAACAAAACCTACGTTCTTCTAACCAGCTCACAAGAATCCAATAATGTCTTTGGAAATAAAAAAAAAATTCTTGTAACTTTATTGCATAAATATCTATATCTATAAATATATCATATATATATATATATATACATTTATAATATGCTTTTGTTATTGTGGGTGATAACTATACATTCTGATTTAATGTGATTATTCATTATAGTCAGGCTGTATGAGTATCGCACTCCATTAGCTAAAGCTTGTGCTTTATCAATAAGCCATTTACAAGCTGGCCGATCAAAAGCAGTTTGCTCAGAAATGAAATGTGATTGACCGTGTCAGACGGACCGATCTATAAAAAGCACAATGAAATCTTCGCCAAAGCACATTTCAATATCATTAGCAACAAGTGAGGCAGCACTAATGTCCATGTGTCCAGCCTCAAAGCTGGATTTATGAGCATTTAATAGCTTCTTCACAGATAAAACCACATACAGATGAGTATGTGAGGATTCTGTAATTGCTGGCACAAAAGCTCAGAAATATCATGACTGATAGATCATTAGTATCGGCACCTTAATGAAGCAGAAAGTGAGTCAATTCGTTAGGATTCAACCCAGAACTGAAGCCAAACTGAAAAGGGCTCTAATTTAACATTAATAATAATTTCCATTTCCATTCATTACATTCATTTAATTTACTGGCAGCATGAGAGCATGCAACGAATAAAAAATGAACCCTCGCAGCCATAGCTGGAGATAGCAATAGTATGGTGTAATTGTAAATTGATTATTTCTCACTCGCAGCTTTCAATTAACATCGCAATTGTGAGTAAATACACTATATGGGCAAAAGTATGTGGACACCTGACCATCATACCTACATGAGCTTGTTGGACATCCCATTCCAAAACCATGGCCATTAACATGGAGTTACCCAACTCAAACCCCCCTCCAATCCCCATTCTCCGCCACTTCGTTGCTAAAACTGTCGTCACTCTTCTGGGAAGGCTTTCCAAAAGATTTTGGAGTGCGTCTGAAGGAACTTGTGCCCATTCAGTCAAAAGAGCAGTTGTGAGGTCAGGCACTAATGCTGGACGAGAAGGTCTGGCTTGCAGTCAATGTTCCAGTTCATCCCAAAGGTGTTCAGTGGGGTTCAGGTCAGGGCTCTGCACAAGCCCCTGGAGTTCCTCCACACCAAACTTGTCAAACCATATATTTATGGAGAGTGCACAATCATGCTTGAGCAGGAAAGGGCCTTCTCTAAACTGTAACCACAAAGTTGGAAACATATGATTTTCTAAAATGTAACTGAATGTTGTAGCATTAGTATTACCCCTCACTGGAACTAAAGGGCCAGGCACTAATCCTGAAAAACAGCCCCAGACCATTATCCCTGCTCCACTAAACTTTACTGTTAGCACTATGCATTTCAGTAGGTAGTATTCTCCTGGCAAACCCAGATTGGTCCATCAGACTGCAAGATAGTGATGTATGATTAATTACTCCAAAGAACAAATTTCCATTGTTGTAGAATCCAGCGGGAGCGTGCTTTAAATCACTCCAGCTGTTGCTTGGCATTGCATATACTGGTGCTAGGCTTATGTGCAGCTGCTCGGCCATAGAAACCTATTTCATGAAGCTCATGACGCACAGTTCTTGAGCTGATGTTGCTTCCAGAGGCAGTTTGGAGCTCTGTAGTGAGTGATGCAACAGATGATGCAACAGGTGATTTTTACGCACTACATGCTTCAGAACTCGGCTGTGAGTTTGCATGGTCTACCTCTTCATGGCTGAGCTGTCGCTCCTAGACACGTCCATTTCACAATAATAGCACTTACGATTGACTGCGCAAACTGACTTATAGCAAATGTGTCATCTTATGACAGTGCCGTGTTTAAAGTCACCAAGCTCTTTAGAATGATCCATTCTACTGCCAGTTTGTCTATGGCTCTGCGCTTGATTTTATACATTTTTAGCAATGGATGTGGCTGAATCACAACCTCAATCATTAGGAGGGGTGTCCACATACTTTTGGATATAGAATATTTTATAATGATGTTTTTAAAAATCACAAATATACATAATAGAAACAATTATAATTCCTCTAATCCCTAAAAAAAAAACTTTAATACAGCATTAATAAACTATATTAAAAAGTTACTTCAATGTAGTTAGAAAACATGAAAATTTATTGAGCTGGTGTGCATATTCTTATTTGGGAATAAAAATATTTTTACAACATTTGCTATTTTTGATATAGAAACAAATGAAAAAAGACAGAAGTGCAGACTTAAATGTCAATCATTGTGGAATTATGTAGATAATAATGTGATGTGTAATGACATTTAAATAAGACAGCAAAATAACTAGAATTACTCTAGACTTCTAACATTTGAAGGGTCCATATTCTATTCTACTACTTTTTCCCCCTGAGGACCATTTATTATGTTTTGCGGGTTTATGTACCAAAAAAAAGTTTGTTTTTTTTATTGTTTTTTTTTTTTAAATCATCATTTTCCAACCTCTTTTTATCCATATGGACTATTTTTGTTACTGCACCTTTAAGACTTATATATGCAAATTGTCTCTGTTCTGATTGGCCACTCTGTATTGTGCTTCATTTAAAAAGCAGTGTGGGTTAAAACAATCCTTGGGTGGGGCTAAACTGCTCTAGGCTGAAAAGGTGGAATTATGTAAATGTGCTGATCATAAAATCACCTGACTAAAAACGGTCTGTTTTTGCAGTTTACTTTCCATATATCATTGGGGCATAGATTGGGGCATGGACTGGGGGGTGAAGAGGTGGTTTTAAAACTTTAACAATAAAAAAAATGTAATTTAAAGGTTTTTAAATAGTTATGTCTGAGCTCTCAAAGAGGAAACTGGATGAAATAAAAAGCCTATTATGGCATCAAAAATGTTCTTCATGGCCTGTGACAACAGACCAGAACCACACAAGGCTTTATGGAGGTGAGATTTATTCACTGCAGGGCTTTAAAGCAGCCAATGCTGCTGCTCAAGGCTACACTAAAGGCAAAGGTCAAGGCTTGCAGTGACGGAGTAACCCAGGGGTAACAGTGTTTCTCAAAAGCAAGTGAGAAGAATCAGAATCAGCAATGTGACATTGCATTCATTGTCTCTTGATGTCCAACTCAGGATTT